CAGGAATGGCAAGAACAGGATTAATGATTTGCTGTCTGCTTCTATTCCTCAAGGTTAGTTGAATTAGCTGAACTAAGACCTTCGGTAAGACAAGTGTTACTTCTCCTCGGATGTCTATGACTGATTTCGTTGCCACCTCCTGCAGTTCTTTCCTACAGCGGAGGAGGCCATTGATTACTATAACCAAAAGAGATGTACCGATGGGAAAGCTTTAGTTCTCCCAAGTCAGATTGTGAGCCCTCAACCCGTAGCTGTTTCTTCTCTTATATAACCATTTCACATCAGATTGAATAAGATTTGATGTTGGATTCATACAGAGATATGTCAAATATTATGAGCGCGTCCAAAATTACTTCAAGGGGGAAGTTCCACCGGGACGAAGGTATGCTTTCACACTCATCGGATAAAAAATGACCTAGTTTGACTGCCAAGTGTTCCTAAAAGGGGGACCGATGTTGTAGGTGCATGCTGAGAGGGTTTCGCCTAATCAACTGCCCTTACTGGATTAGACCCTCCATTACCATCTCCAACCACAGTGGTATGATAACCAACATAACTGTCCATTCAATTCACACCATTTTTTCTTGTCTCTAGCTTGTCGCATATGATATGAGTTATACAGAAACACTTGCCTCTATCGGCAGGTATTCTTTTCTCTACAAGGAAGCATCCAAAAACCAAGGATCTGATGGTAAGAGTTATGATCATCTGTTGGCTCCTTTGTCTGTCATATGTTGGTTGTATTATGCTTCTCACTTAATGATGACCCAATCCATCAATATGTTAATTAATGGCTGCAGCCTGAAGATTTTTGGATGAAGGCACCGAGAAAGGGGGTGGTAGTATTTGCATTGCCCGGTGAACCTGGTCTGACTGAATTAGTCGGTGACTTCAAAATTCACTTTCACGACGGAGATGGAGATTTCTACTGGTATTGTAAATCTGTCCTCCGCTTTACAGTGTCTTGTTTGCAAATATTGATCTAACCGGCCCTCTCTCTCTCTCTCTGCCTGCAGCTGGTTAAATACAACAATGGCAGAGAACAGAACCACGCTGGACGGGGGTGACCTCGACGGCTTTGACAAGGTAACAAGACATTCATTTGCTGGAGAAAAATCTATCAGATAATTTCGATTTTGACATTTTGGCATGAAATTTTGCAGAGAAAAATGCCAGCGCCTGGATTCCACGTGGAGATAGTGATGATAGAATTGGACGGAACACAACCAACAAAACCCAAATCAGACACTTCCCCAACCGAAGAGCAACCTCAGACTCAGAGCAGTACCCAACATGCATCCGACTCTGCCAAATCCAAAACTTCACGAGACAGAGATGACGATGTCTTCTCTGACAGCGACGAGGAAAAACCCCGAGAGCCGTCCGAGAAAGCCAAAGGCTTAATGCATGAAAGCAACGAGATCAAGGCCAAAGCACCTATCATCAAGAGCGAGGAGGATTCAGTGAAAGGAGGTGGTGAAGGATCATCCTCATTGATGGATTCCTCTGGGGCTAGTGATATAAAGTCCATTGCTGCGGACGCCTCTGTTTTCTCCTTTGGTGATGACGATGATGAAGACTTTGAAAGCGATTGAGGCTCTAAACACATCCAAGCTTACTTTTTTATATATATGAGAAAATAGAAAAAATTAAAAACATTGTAACATTCAGATTTCAATCATTTTTTGTTTTCTCCAAAGTAAAATGTAGGAAGCCAATATTCTAATACATTCTGTAAATTTGTAAAATTTTTCTGGGCCGTGGAAAGGTCAAACGGCCAGTGAAACAAATACCAAAAATCAGAAACAATTTTATCAAATGAAAGGAATGCTGGTGGTACATTAAGATGTAACTCTATCATGTTACAGAGCTTTCTTCTTCTTCTTCTTCTTCTCGAGTTGCTTTTTGAGGTTAACAATAATCTTATCCTGCGCCTCCACTTGGAAATCCTTCTGCTTCAGTTTCTTCTTAAGCTCTTCGATTTCCTTCAAGAGCTCCTCCTCCCTAGTCTTCTCGTTTGCACACTTATCACCGTTACAATGGTGAACATCTGCTTCCTCATCTGTCTTCTGTTTCTTACAATCCGTGAGGTTCTCGTCCTGGTTACTTCTCTTCTTGCCAGAGATTTCTCCATTGGAATCATCTTGGCTCATTTTACGGACATACCAACTGGCTTCTGATCCAGAATTTAGTTTAAAGGTACCCAGCTTTTGCGGCAAACCCGACGAGTCCTGGAAACAGATGTGGGAAGTTATTTCACCACACTGACCTTTGACTGCTAAACCGTAATTTCAGGCCCCTTTTGCAAAGCAGGAAAAGCTAATTAATTACCTTTTCAAGATCTCCTTCAAGGTTTTCAAATGCCTGGTTAGCTTCTATTGAACTCTTGAAAACAGCGACTGCGCTGTAGAATCCTCCTGGTTTCTTTGATGGCTGCCAAAATTTTACAAACACAAACCCACATGATAAAACAAGATAATCAAGAAAATGCTGCGCTAGGTCTTATTCAGAATCCTACACAAAACGTGGAAGAAATACCCACCTTAACTTCAAGCATAAAATCCCCAGAAATAACCACACTCAACTCTTCAGAGGGCACACTATGAGGGATTTTGTGCAGAAAGAGCCTTGCCATCTCAGTTTCCAACATCTACAATATGTAAGCATGTCATTTAGAAAACATGCATTCAATTTTTCTCAATTTGAAATGGGTTATCCCTAACCGATCTTACATCTTTAGTCATCGAAACCGTCGTGTCCACTCCTTTTTCTATAACTGCAAGAACAAGCTTCATCGCAGCAGCTGCATCCTGTATACAATCATGGGCAGCACCATCCTTCCGGACTTCACAACCCAATACAGACTAAAGAACAAAATACAGAAGATATTAGATAAATTATCTTATAATATATCAAGAATATGATATAAATGTGAAATTCCTCTTTGGTTTCCCTATAGCAGAGAGCCATGAAAAACTTGCCTTGCACAGATTATTCAGAGAAGGTCTTCTACGCTTATTTCCATTGGAAAACTTGAATATAAGTGAAGTATCAATTACTCTCGCATGATCTATCTTCATCGCTGGGATTCAAAGATGTGCAAGAATAATTAACTTCAATAACAAACTGTCACATACACAAGCAAGTATAATCTTTTCCTTACCTTTCAGATCATTGTTCAAACTGTGACCTACCAAGATAGTATCCCTGGAGAGAAACCTCCGCATTTTTTTCTGCGAATTTCACAGGATAACATATAGACTAAAACCTTGCCACTGCGAATAAACTGAAAAAAGACCCCAATGGGACGACCAAGATAAAGACGCTAAACGTAAAAGCACGATACCTGTATATCTACCACGGATAAGGTAGCTTTTTCAATATCTGCAGCAGTGACTCCAGTAATATCAGTCCTATAATCAGTAACTGGTCTGTTCGGGTTCACAAATTTATCAAGTATAACCTGAGTCACGAAAATCACAAGTAAGTTAACACGATTGATTTGTGGGATCATCAGGAAAGAGAAACAAGTTAAACACTAAAAAGGCGTTGACACAAAATAAAGGCTGAGATGTGTAAGCAATACGTTTAATTCACGGTCCACAACACCAACTCTCACAACAGCTTCAGTACCATCTTCACAAAGAACCATCTCACAATCGACCGCTATCATTTTGGTACATTTCATCACCTTTGACTTCTTCTTTCCAAGCTTGGTCACAAGCCAATCCTATTTCACATTCCCAAAAGTTCAACAATTACACCAGCAAGAAACAGACATTCATTTGAGCCAAAACTTAAAACATTCACCAGAAAGTGAAATCCGGTCAATCAAGGGACACCATACCTCAGTATGAGACGGGAAGCCATAGTCAAATGAATAATCCGGGTGCTCTAGAGTCATTCTTACAAGCCTCTGTACTGCCAAAATCGTAGTTATAACATATTATTACACTACCAGCATTAGAACAAAATCTCAACACCAGGTTCTATCTTAGCTTCGAACAGATTACTTCCCATACTCATATTCACATCATCAACTTATGTTTTTCTATATCCGTAAATGTCCGCACCTGCTCAGGAGTCTCTTTATCTGGAGATTCCTGCTTGAACTTTTCTATCAGATCATTGTTTGCGTCACGTTGCAGAACCCAAGCGATAAACTGAGAGTTTAAAAAAGTAGATTGTAACCATTTGATTAAACCTTAAAATAAAAAGTCGAAAAGTTAACACATGCTTCTACCTGCAAATCTTCTTTCTTCTTAAAGGTCATTAGAAAAGCTACCAAATCATCCTTGGACCTTTTCGAAGGATCGCTTAAGCTCGACCCAAACTTTTTGTCATAAACATTGAGAAATTCCTTCCACCCGCCATTCTCGCCCTGCAAACCTCGCTTCTGAACTATCTTCACCAGGTTTTGCAGCAGCTAACCGAAGATTTTCGAACGTCAAATGCAAAATCCAAAGACGGAGAAAACGGATTGCCAATCCAGAAATCACAAAGTTTTGCCAAAACAAGGGCTCGAACAGATAGAAATACGTACTCTTCTCTCAGCGGTCGCTAGTTTGTGCTCCATTATCAAGTTCCGGCGGCAATAAACGGAGAATCGCCGTCGAAGTAAGTTTAAGCCGCGGACAGTGGAGGAGAGTTAGGGTTTTGTAACAGAGACGAAAGAAGGCTCTCTTTATTGCAGTTCTTTCAGTATCAAGGAACAAAGACGAAACAGAAACCTCTAACTCAACTAGAGGATCACTATGGGCCTCAACTTCCGCTTACTGGGCTCGGCCCATTAATGTACATACCGAGCGTTATCCATTCATTTTCAGAAATGTTTTTTTTTTTCGGTTATAAGATTTGAGTGAAATCTCAATACAATCATCGACCAAAATAATGCGTGAGATTCAACACGGCCCATGTCTTCACGGATGTGATCAAATTAAAATAAAGAGATAAATACACAAATTCTCATTTTCCTAATTTGACATTTCAGATTGAGAAATTGGGCCTCTTAAGATTATATTGGGCCAACTTTGAAAACGATGGTAATTGGGCTCATAACATTATATTGGGCCAATTTTCAGACCGATGAAAATTGGGCTTATATTGTGATCGTGCCAACACGTGCAAGGAAAATCCACGCGCACATATAGCGCGTTGAGCAAACGCGCCTGATTTCTCTGGACTATATAGTCCAGCGAAACCGTCGGATTTTCTCAAATCTCGAAAAAAGAGCGCGTGAGAATAGTAAATGTCTCCGGACGATTTGCTTCCGCGTTTTTTTCTATATTCTTATATATCATTTTTTTGGTCCCTCTTATTTCTACGCTAACTTCATAGAAATTAAACATTCGCTATTAATTTATAATATTCAGACGATTTTGGTAACAAAAAAATATGATTAACTGCTAGTAAACATTCGCTATATATATATATATATATATATATATATTTATATATCGTGAAAAACTAAGGTGATCAAATATCATACTTTTAAAAAAAAGTTAAAATATGATTAATTACGCTTTGTTAGTGAGGTGAATAACCGTTTTTATCATTTTGGTAACATAAAAAAAAGGAGATTAGGCTTAACTACACCTTGAATCAATGGAGATGTGTACTTAAGTTTTATCCATTGAACAAAGGTTCATCATATATATATATATATACACATTTTGAGTTTGAAAATGATTTTCTTGAATCAGGCAAAGTCATTTTCCTATTTTGACATTTCAGATTGAGAAGACTTCACAGAGGTCAACATGTAAGAAAGGCAACCGGTCCAATCACAGAGAGAAGCAAAATACACACACAGAGACAAAGATTCGATCTTGTTCAAAGCTGTTGGGTAGAACTGTCATCATCACCATGAGACCATCTCCTGAGTGTGCACGCTACCAAGTTCCTACATGCCAGAAACCCCAACCTTGTCCTAACCATTGCTAATCTACCGCCATTATTGACGTTACTTGAAGCTTCTGCATCAGCAATTTGATCTGTAGGATGGTCCTCGACCACTGCCTCAAGAACTCGAACTCCTCCATTGCCACCGTTAGCATCAACCATGGCATAGGGTTCATTCCCATCCACGCTCACCACCAGGGACCTCCTCTGTTCACGCAGCCATTCCCCAACTTCACCAGTCACCACCCGGCATTTCTTCACCTTAAGTCTCACCAGATTAGGGCAACCCATCGCGAGTGCCTCAATCCCCACATCCGAAATCGGACATCCCTTGATACAGAATTTCCTCAACGCTCCGCATTTAGTGGCAATGCATGCAATCTCAGCATCCCCTATGGTTCCAATTCCACACAGAGCCAGACGTTCAAGCTTTGAACAGTTTGAAGCAATGGCTGCTACGCTCATATGGGTTGCCTTAACACCTGTAAGAACAAGCTCTTGCAAGCTAAGACAATGTTTAGCTACGGCCATCAATCCGTCATCGCCGATTCTGTTAGTCCTCCAACCATCGATATGAAGCTTTCTGAGTTGCTTGCACTTCTCCGCAATACTGATCAACCCTGTATTCGAGCACGGGGTTTTCACTATGTGCAAAGTTTCAACATTTGTACATTTGGATAGAGCTGAGAGTCCCACATCACTGACTTGGAGCCTCTCGAGATGAATTTCAGACAGGGAACTATTTCCATCTCCAATCATTTCTAGAACTCCATCCCAATCACCCAAACATCGAATAATTTTCAACGTTTTAAGGGTTTTTGATCCAGCAACCAAAGGTTCGAAAGCGTGTCCGTTTTCGAGCTCCTTCAAGCAAATCCTGAGCACAGACGACGAACGCATCTGAACTTGATCGGTCGATCGAAGTATTCCTCTTAGACGCCTCACCGACAAATCCTCCAGAAGCTTGCAATGTTCGAGCACGGCGTTCAAGCCGTGGGCACCGACATTGCAGGAACCACAAGAGAACTTCTTCAATTTCTTACAATTCCTAGCAAAAGCCTCCAGTCCCAGATCCGTAATCTCGCGACAACCGCGGATCTTGACGCGTAACAGATTCGAACAGCGGACAGAGATCATGACCAGCCCCTCATCGTTGAGGCTAACGGATTTCCGATCGCATCGGAGGACAAGCTTCGTGACGGAATCGAAGCGTGAGAACATCGCCGGCAGAAAAGGCAGAATTTCCGCCTTAGCTTCGAGAGAGAGACGTTGACGGCTCTGTCCGTCGACGCAGAGCCACCGCTTGCAGACGAGGGAGCACCGCTTCCGATCACCAGGGCCGAGGAAATGAAAAACATGAGCCAAACACTCATCCGGCAGATCTCCGGTGAAATCACGATCTCCACCACCATCCCTCCGATCTAAAGCTTCTCCAGAACCAGTCGCCGGAGAAAACAGCCGCGTAGCCACCTCCCGACCGGTCAGCTCCGCCGGGTAAGACGCCGCCTGGCCCATTGCACGCAGGCACCACCCAATGAAATAGGGTAAGGTTGCGAGAGAGGGAGAGAGACCCAGAATTTGTTGGGTTTTTTTTTTGGGCAGTTGCGTAAATTATTATAGAGAAAAAAAAATCATTTCATAAAACGGCAGTCGAAAAGGGGAAGCGTGTCGTCGTCGGAGTCGCCACGCCCGACCCAGCACTTGGTCTCTCTCCACCGTCCGATCAATTTCCCATCCGACGGTTCTGATCCAATCATCATGACCATTGGGCTCTCTCATTCGTCTGACTTTGACCGTCCTCATCTCTTTCGGCTTTTTTACGGTCAGCATCACGTTTTGAGTATACATGTTTTTTTAAAATTATATCCCATAATGAACGTACTTGTATGTGTTATCAATTTTCATGACGTATCATACAATGGGCCTCGTTTCCTTTTTTTTCCAAAAAAAAAAAAGTTCTTTCACATAAATATTAAAAATCCCAAAAACCAATCATAAATGTTTTATTTTGTGTTTTTTTAATGATCGTAATAGGATTTTAACTAAAAGGGCCTGAAAGTAATCTATCTATTACTAATGGGCCTAGAGGGATCATCTCCTTAGCCCAATTTCGAAAGTATTTTACTGTTTCCCCACAAGGAATTATTTAAATTTTACGAATATTGTAAGCCAAAAACAATACCAAATATATTGTGAGATTTGGATGTATTCCTTTTCTCATTGAAGACAGATGTTTTAATTGAACAGTAAATTGCATAAACATGTGCTAAGGAAAAACGTAAACTTAAATAAAATATCGAATCCAACCAAATCTAATATATTTTCCTCTTTTTTAAATAATAATATTATAATAAATTAGAACCTGAAACGCGATGATATTAAAAACAACGCAGGAAGCGAACATTCGTTAATTATGGCAGCTGTATGCAATTATATTTGTGTCGTGTTTTCTTCGATTTGGAAATTCTGGCATATGCTTCAGCTGATGGATGATCTCTCTCTCATGGAGTTTCAACTCTCAATAGGAAAAACAACTACACACACACATACATAATACGTATATATCCCTGCATGTATAGTTTACATTCACTATATGGACCCACCAACCCTTTTTACAATAAAAAAAAAAATTGGGCAAAATTAAAAGGGTCAGACTGTAATATTGCAGGAAAAACAAATCTTTAATTCCGCGGACGTTGTGATATTTGAATAAATTTGGCCAACCGCGTACATTAACATATATAGTTCATGTTTAGGTGTGTGTATATATATATATATATATATATATATAAAGTGGAAACATTATTGTTGGCAAGGTCAAGGTATCTAAATTTACTATTTCTCGGTATCTTTTTAGGGCACAACGCATTAATCAAAAGACAATTATATTTTATCATACGGCCACGTACGATTTTTCACTCGATTAAAACGCATCCCCAACGCAAATTTAATAGCGTTTTCCATTTAAAAAGACACGTAATGGCAGCGTAACTATGATTTCAATCGAAGTCTCGTACGGCTGTAATTATTGATCTATAAGAATTGACTGTATCAAATTATCAAATAGTAGCCGTAATTGGGTTGGTGGTGAATCAAAAAATTTGTGTCGGGCCAAGTAATAATAATACAAAAAAGTATAATGGCGAAAAATAATTGCAAGTTGATTGTACACTACAACCATTCGGTGTTGTATAGGAAACTCTACACCCATTTTTGGAAATATTTCTTGATTTTTTTAAAGGTTTAAGAAGTTTTATTTGCAATCGTGTTATATAAGTGGATGACAAAATGATTTCTATATTTGCGTGGAAATAATAGTGAAGAGTCACCTTTAAAAAAAATAAATACAAAATTCAAATAAAAAATCACGGGAGACGAGGAGGAGCCGAGCACATTCAATTACTAGCTATCTAGTAAATCGGGGGTAAACGAGGAATATTATAATAATAATAATAATAGATTCCATTATATATATATATATATAATGATGATGATGATAGTGTATATTTAATATAATTTGATATTTATTAGGGAAGTGGAAAAGGAAGGAGAGACATCAAGGCAGCGTACGGCATTTCCACTTAATTACTCATTTTTTTAATTACGAGTATCATTTACTGTTTTCGATATGTATCGTGTCTATTAATATTATATTAATATATAATAGCCTTAATATTTAGGATCAGAAAAAGTACCACGGATTCTGTATTTATAAAAAAAATTAAAACATGACAGACGGACAGACAGACCGACAGAAGTAGAAAGAGTTTTAAAATTAAATGTTTTTTTTTTTTGCTTTCTAAATTTCTAAATCTCCTCGTGCAATACGACATTAACCTTAAGTTCGTAGTCTAATAAAAAAATGTGTTTAATCTAATTAAAATCTTCGCGAAATTCGATATTGTATAATAATTTAGAACATTAAAAATCTTGATTTCTTAGAGTTATAAAAGACGCCTTATAAATAAATTTAAAAAACCAATTTTCATCTTTTTCGCCAATGGTTTCATTTATTTATTTTGTATGAATATTTTATTTTTTTCGTCTTCTATTAATACTTTGACTGGCCCTTCAAAATATTATTGCACGGCATATGACATATGATATGATGTGGCAATACAGTATTCTCCTAATTGTGTAAATCTCGAAAACATATTTTAATACAGTTCGCTCTTTTTATTCAAAATATATATTTTTAATCAAAAGCTGATTTACTCATTTAATTACACAATCCACTTCTGTTCTGTTTTATATCCAAGTTTAAGCATATGACAACTGGCACCGATGTGAAATTAGAACACGGATATTATATAATTTTATCATATTTTAAAAATACCTTCATAGGGTTACACCAAAAGAATTCGATATTTCTAAACCTAATTAATCGGGCGAATTATTAAAACAAAAAGGGAAAAAATTGGAGCGTTTAACGGGGAATGATAACAATTTTCTTTTATTGGTTTTAAAGTTAAAATTATGGAAATTGGACCGCAGAGATTCTTCACAAAGTATTACTCTCCAAAAAGAAAAAAAATATTATTTATTTTAAATATCACTTTTCAAACTGTTTTATGTCAGCAAGTTGACCATCTGACGTTTCTTATTGGTCCACGTCTGTTCTCTTCCTGACAGACGTTACTCCATCAGTCATTATATAAAATACTACAAGCAATTGATTTTTTTTAGTTATTTCGATAATTATTATAACTCTCCTAATTAAAACTAGAATGTTTAGAAGATGAAATGGTTTTTATTATATTTTTTATATGAACAATAATAAATAATCATCATTGGAAAATATGATTCCATTCACAGCAATACTATATAGAGAATGTCAAAAGTTCCATGTGAAACAAAATTGATAAATATTGAATTGTAGTTTTTTAATTATTTAGATAGAAAACTGGCTGTTTTTATAACGAAAAAAAGAGAGTGCATGCCATGCATGCGTATTTTTATCACATATATACATGCGTATGATATACGTATAACCACCATTTCATTGCTTTGTTTACTAATATTATATTGGAAGTTGATAAAAATATGTATAATACTGTTTCATCTATTTTCCCGCGCGCCAAACATCCGTATAATAAAAGACAGATAATGGAGAGAACAAATGATTAATAATAATAATAATAATAATAATAATAATAATAATAATAATAATAATAATAATCGTAAAGAAAGGCGAGCGTGAGATAAAACCCTTCACTTTCTCGCCATTTGTCTTCTCTCTATCTCGCAGTAGAATCCAGAGAGACATAGAGGAAGCTATTTGGAGGTCCAATGGCGGAATGAGCTGAGGCCTGCATTTTCTTCTAGGTGGAAGAAGGTGATGTCTCCGCAAGAAAAAGAAGACGAAGATACTCGAAACGCGCCGTTTTGTGTTCTTGATGGGCTCTACTGCGAGGAAGAGAGCGGGTTCGTGGAGGATCTCGTGGTGGGGACAGATGGAGATGGAGATTTGTGGGATAAGTCCGATGAATTTTCCCAAAAATCTCCGTTTTTCACTCTGATCTTACCTGAACAGGACATGTTCTGGGACGACGATGAATTGTTGAGTCTAGCTTCAAAGGAAAATGAAACAAAGCCGTGTTTTTGTGACAAAATCTTGGATGAGTTTCTGGTTTTGTGTCGGAAAGAGGCTCTCGATTGGATTTTTAGGGTGAAATCCCATTATGGGCTCAGTTCATTGACCGCTCTTCTCGCAGTCAACTACTTCGACAGGTTTATTACAAGCATAAAGTTTCAGACAGAGAAGCCATGGATGTCTCAGCTTGCAGCCGTGGCTTGCTTGTCTCTGGCCGCGAAAGTGGAAGAGATTCAAGTCCCTTTGCTCTTAGACCTTCAAGTAAGATAAAAATCTTTGTTCTTCCTCATAATGCCGTTTGAGTGTTCACTGAAATGCCACTGCCATGCGGTTTTCTTGAATTTTCTAACAGGGGTCTTGTGTTCTTGTGATGTCGGATAGGTAGAAGAAGCGAGATACGTCTTCGAGGCGAAAACCATACAAAGAATGGAGCTTTTGGTTCTGTCCACTCTCCAATGGAGGATGCACCCTGTCACTCCAATCTCCTTCTTCGATCACATTATACGTCGTTTCGGGTCCAAATCTCATCACCACTGGGAGTTCATGAGGAGGTGTGAGCGTCTGCTTCTCTCCGTCATTGTTGGTGAGCGTTCCATTGGCCCTTCCTTGTGTTTCGGTTGATTCTTGAATGGCTTCTTGATCTTAAGATCATTGTGCTGATACTGGATATTGGTTTCAGATTCGAGATTTATGAGTTACACACCTTCAGTGTTGGCTACTGCGATCATGATCTATGTCATGAAGGAATTTAAGCCGTGTGATGAAGCTGAATACCAATCTCAGCTCATGAATCTACTCAAAGTCAGTCAGGTCTGTGGTTGATCCAGCGATTTGCATCAAACCTCTCACTGTATCTGCTAAGATCAAAACTGATTGAACATTACTTGATACAGGAGAAAGCAAACGAATGCTATGAACTATTGTTGGAAATCAATGGAAGCCAAAACATGGGCAAGAGAAGATCGAATCTGAGAGTGCCGGCCAGTCCAACGGGCGTATTCGAAGCAGCGTTCAGCTCTGACAGCTCAAATGACTCGTGGGTCGTGTCAGCTACATCAGTGTCCGAGCCACTGCTCAAAAGGAGACGAGTGCAGGAGCAGCAGATGCGTCTACCCTCCCTCAGTAAACCGTCTCTTTCTCGATGTTCTTAGTAGTCCTCGCTGGTATTGTTCACCAATAGAATGGACAGGCATAATTCAATCCCTCTATTCATGTTCCCTCTCGGCCAGCTAAGTTAGTTTCCACTCCTCGGGTCAAATCTTTCCTCTGTTTCGGGCAGTTTGGTATCGATAATCCGGAAATGAAGGGATCTTTTGTTACCTATAAAAGACAGTTTTTTTGCAGATCTTATATGTTAAGAAGCCTATAAGAAAGTAATGGGTATGTGCCCCCCATTTGATAGTATCTCTTGCATGTAAATTGAATAGAGGTTGTTCATCATGGATCATATATATATATATATATATTTGTGGTTTTCTTGTGTTTTTATTACACATGATGAACTTGTGTGTTTAGGCATTCATTGGCAGCCCTTTCAGGAGAAAAGATCAAAGTAAGTAAAGTATCATTGAATTTTTTTTTTTAAATCACAAAGCACCACCAAACTGTACTAGATAGTAGATAGTAGGGGTGGCTATTTCACTTCGGTTCTTCGGATAAAAAATTTCGGTTTTTTTTTTTAACCATACCATTTAAAATTCTTGAATGATATGATTTTTATAGAACCGAATTTCTCAAAACCGAACAATACTGAAATCAAAACCAAACCGAACCGAATAATATACGGTATTAATTTGGTACAAATTTTAAAATATTAAATAAATCATTCCCGAACTGAATCGTGAAAATTCCGATCTGAATCCCGAATCGCCGGTAGGAATAGGTATTTCCAAAGTTTTTTTTTTCTTTTTTTTTGAACATTGTGACTCAATCGGGAGATGCATCATAGGATTAGACAGAGAGGAGAACTGACAGATGAACCATCAGTATCTCTCCTGAGATGTCTAATGGTTCTTGAAAATGGGAAATGAGTGATGGAAAGGGAGTGGTTGGATTTTGCAGACAAAAATGTACAAAAGGAGGGTCAGTGATGTTGTAAACAGAAGAGCTGATTTTTTTTTGGAGAGTAGCTCACATGTGATGGAACTCGGCCTTTGAGGCAAATACACAGTGGTTTGGACGAGAGCTAATAGACACATCCTTTCTCCTTGGCTTCTCCCTTTTTTTTTATGTTCTTTTTGGGTGCGAGTGAGACCAAACATTGAATTGGGTTTTGGGTACCTTCAGTCTTTTTTTCTTCCCCTTCCTACCAGCATGAAAGCAACCTATGCCATTTAAAAAAAAACTATCTTGTCTTGTCAAAAAACAAAACATGTGAGATTTTGTCTGTATCCCATGGAGTTCCCACCTTCCTCTCTTGCTTGCTTGCATCCCATGGAGTTCCTCTCTCTCTCTCTCCCCCCTCTCTGTACAAAGACAAGGCCTTCTATCTATGTGTCTACATATATAGCTATGAGACACATTAAAACCAAACTAAAGAAACAGAATAATAACTACCTACACAACTCAACACAATCAATCAGCCATTCACCACAAAAAGAGAAAAAAAAACAAAGAAGGCAACTTCATCAGGAGATGCAGATTGGGCATGAGTTACGAGAGAGGAGCTTGGGACATATGATAATAAACAAAAACAGAAGAGTATAGGGGCTCTATATGATAACCAAAGCTTTCATGGAAATTGTAAGTAGAACAATAACTGGAAATATATCTCTACTTATACAAGTGTAGTAGCAAGCAACAAACATCACAAATATATTTTGACGATTTTCTACTCTTACCCTCTTATGACACGGCCACGAAATACATAATCTACTATCAATTCTTTAGAAGAGAAGACTCAAAATCATATGATATTTTTCTTGTGATAGTTACCATAGGATGTGCAGTTCAACAGGTCAAGAGAGGAGACCCACTGCATTTCACATCAGAAGCATCTGAAAGGCGTTGTCGTGGTGAAAGAGCTGTGATACCAGCGGCATCCACATCGACATTCACTATGACTTTCCTCTTCTGTGCCTCTGCGTTGTTCGACCTCTCTTCCGACCCTTCAGCTATGGGGCTCAGGGTCTTCACTGCTGCAGCCTCCGTTTCATCGCCTTCTGTTGCATACAGGATACTTTTGATGGCACCAACAAGCTGCAGAAAAGGAATGGTATTAAAAGGGTTGTAAGATTATTGATTTCAGTTGATTATATGATATATGTTCGCGTGAGTTTAGAAGTTTACGGGTAGGTGCTCGGTCTCCGGATTCTGGCAGAGAATCTCTACATCCCTCAATTTAGAAAAGTAAAAGTCTCGCTCCTTTTCGAGGCTGTCTATGTATAGTTTCAGCTCAGTGATCTGCGATAGAACTGCTTGTTAGCCACTGAGTCTTGTCAAAATAGAGTGGTGTACTTTAGAAGATTCTGATACTAACAACCTTTTCATCATATGCAGGCACTGATTTGGACGGTTTTGATGAGGTCTTAGCGGAATGATTGGCGGCATTGGAAGATGGCGGCTCTCTTTTCCGGGTTCCATTTGAAGATGAGGGTCTTGCAGCAGCAGAAGAACCCTTAGTTGAGGGTTGCGTAGCTGCAGCCCTCTTGTTCGTTTCTTTTCCACCTCTGCAGGTTTCTCTTCTCTCCAGCGGGTTGTAGCTAATAAGGAACAGCAATGGAAAGAGCAGGATTAGGAAAATTATTTTCCTGATTACTTTGAAGCATCGATTAAAGTGTATCAAGATGGACGATTAGTTCCAATCCTTAATGTCAATCAATGGATTCAATATTACAGCACAGTCTGAAACTACAAGAAAGCCACAATAATGGGATTTTGGTTTGGAAAACTTTCTTGAAAATTCATAGTAGGAAATTTAGTTAGAGCTGGAATCGTAATGAACTTACTTCTGAAGCAGGCCCCCATTGACAGAATCGCAGTATCTCTTCATCCACTGCATGAACTCCAAGTTGTCCAGTGGCCTTCCCTTCACCAGTTTGCTCACTTCTATGTGCTGCAAGCCAGTAAATCAAACAAACCCAAATCGATTCAACGCAAACTGATGTTCTTAGAAGATGATTCACGGATAATCTAAATCTAAATCCAAAATAAAAACCGAATAGGAAGACGAAAGAAAATGAGAGAAGATGACCTTAGTGATCTTGAGTTTGTTGAACACATCCTGAAGCACCTTGTAGTTCTGTATCATCTCGTACTCGTTCTTAGCGTCGAAGTTAACCTTGTGCATCGGAACCATATCTGGATGGAAAGAATCCATCAATTGGCAGTGAACTGCGCCGGAACAAGCCTGCGATCCACAGATCCACCATCGAAATCAGAGAGAACGTTCAAGAAATTTTTTATATAAAAAAAAACCTACACCGGTAGAAGATGAAATCTGAAGATTCAAATCTCAGATTGGAGTAGCGAAGAGAGGAGAAATGACAGAAACAGTACCTCTTCGACTTTGGAGAGATTGAGTTGGAGAGTCGAGTTGATCCATGCTAGAATCTCTGATCTCCCAACGAAATATGCTGAATCCATCATTCCAATGTTCGTCGCCATCGCCGAAATCTTCAGAAGCAATTTCTCTCTCTCTCTCTCTCTCTCTCTCTCTCTCTCTCTCTCTCTCTCTCTCTCTCGCTCTCTAACGTTCGTGAAAAGAGAGATCTGAATGAAAAGGAGAGGCGCGGAACCACCAATTCAAAAAATGGAACGTCTGACCCGCTCTGGCTAAAAGCGGGTCCGGGTTTTACATTTCGGGTCTCCAATTTGGGCCTCTCTCTTTAGTTTCTCCATGAAACCATGATAACCATCCATCCTCCTCCGTCTAGAAGGAACAAAAAAATATATAAAAATAATAAGCCGCAACAAAAGCATCACTAAATTAAATAATAATAAAAAACATATAATAAGAACGAGAAATTTCCAATAACCAAATAAGACTGAAACTTTAAGCTATGAATTATTGTCATCAAATCACAAACCCACATATAACAACATCTCTCCACAATCACACACCAAAAACACAGCCTATTAGTCAAAACCCTATGTTACTAAACTCTCTCTTAATTATAATATCACTATTTGACCAAAAATATTAAGTGATTAGAAGCTAAGGAAATCTCTCGAGCAGTTGCAGGGCCTCTTTCATGGTGGGCCTTCTCTGAGGAATTGGAGATGAACAGGCCAGGCCCATTTTTAAACAGCCCAATAAAGCCTCTTCCTTCCCATCTAACTCTCCTCTGATCGGCCCATCCACCATTCTCATGGCCCGTTCCTTGTCATCGATCACAAGCCCATTCACCTGCCCCATATCGTCAACCTGGACGATCTTTCCCGTCAACAGCTCCAGCAGAATGACACCAAACGAGTACACATCCCATTTCGGATTAGGCTTCAAGTTCCGGAGAGATTCCGGTGCGTTATAAGGCGCCGAGCACGAGACAGAGCTCGGGCTTGGGCTCGGGCTCGGGCTCGGTCCGAAGTCGTGAGATGACGTGGACCGTTTGCTCCCGAAGATCCGGGCCGAACCACCGGTTCGATAGCTGGTGTCACCGGCCAAGACCCTCTCGAGCCCAAAATCTGATATTTTGGGCTCCATGTCGAAGCCCAGAAGGATGTTGCTGGGCTTAAGGTTTCCGTGAACATGCTTCTTCTCATGGATGTACGTTAGCCCACGCGCCATCCCTCTCGCTATCCTGAGCCGGGCCTCCCACGGTAAATGACAAGGAGATGAGCCCACTTTCACCTTTTCATCATATGCAGGCACTGATTTGAACTGTCGACCTACAAAAAGAATACAGACCCATAAATTGTTAGATTAAGGCCAGACATGCGCACGATAACATGCGAGTGTAACAAGGAAACTCTCTTTCTCTGTCTCGGGTTAGGTTTGGGCTCACTGTGAGTTAAGAGGGAAAGTCACTATCATGCACCGTTGACTCTATTCCATGCATTGACCGACAAAACTCTAGTTGAACCTACTCTGACCTCGCAACATTCACTCCACCGCTCACGTTAGCCAATCAAACCACACTTCACTACCGTGAGCGTCAAAACCACAAACTATGAAATCACAAAATGACGGAAAAAGACTTACTGTAACGGGCGTTAGCGAGGCTCCCGTTAGGGACAAAATCGTAAATAACAAGCTTCTCGTCGGCGCTCCAGTAAAATCCCCGGATGCGAACCAGGTTTAGATGAACCAACTTGGCAATGGCTCGAACTTGAGCCTCGAAATCCCTGAACCGGTCTAAACCGGACTCGCCGATACGTCGAACCGCCACGGTCGTACCGTCGTGAAGAACCGCCTTGTACATTATGCTCGAGCCGGTGGCTCCCAAAATGTAAGCCGAAGCTTTGAGAAGCGTCTCGAGCTCGAGCTCCTTCTCCGAATCAAGATTAACGAGGGTCCCTTTCTTGTCGTGATCGGCCTCTCGCCGCCGAGACCGGCTCTCTTCATCGGACACGGATCCCGTTGTAACGGACTCCTCGTCATCGTCACCGTCAACGTGAACGGTTTTCCCTAGGCATGACCATCTCGCGAAGCCTTTGGAATCGGATGAGTCTGATGACGTGGACCACGTATCTTTGACGCCGTTAACTTCTCCTTTCAGCGTAACCGCCATGGTTTTCTTCTTCTTTGACTGGTAGAAATAGAATATTACGATCCCGAGGATCGCTAATCCGCCGATATCTCCGACGATGATTCCTATGATGATTCCGGGTTTCAGACCCGGATTTGAGCCTATGGTCTTCGGGATGGCAGCTAAGGCGGGAGGAGAATACGGGGAAGAGACATTCGCGGCCGGCGGCGGCGGCGGCGGCGGAGGAATGGGAGAGGGTTTATGGCAGTGGTTTTTGGTCGGAGCGGATCCGCATAAACCCGGGTTGCCGAGGAAAGACTTGAATGCTTGATTATCGAAGACCCGGAAGTTAGGGATTTGACCTATGAGGTCGTTGAATGAGAGGTCGACGGAGGCGTTCGCCGGGATTTCATCGGCGAAGCCTGGCGGTATTTCGCCGGAAATTCGGTTGTAGGAGACATTGAGATATCGTATACGGTTGCCTCCAAAATCCGAGGGGAGAGAGCCGTTTATGAGATTTGAAGACAGATCAAGGAGCTCAACAGCTCTAAACCCGCCGGGAATCTCGCCGGAAAAGTAGTTGTTCCTCAGTGAAACCACCGTTAAGTGGCCAAGCGAAGCTACACTCTCCGGCAACATTCCGGAGAGGGCGTTGTCCGAGAGATTCAGCACCTGAAGGTTATGTAGCCCGCCAAAACTGGCCGGAAAGTCGCCGGAGATCAGGTTATTCGACAGATCAAGAAACCGGAGCTCAGAGGCGTTGAAAAGCGCAACGGGCAAAGACCCATTGATGGAATTGTTGGAAAGATCGAGTCTTTGAAGCGCAGGGAGAGTACCCAGATCGGAAGGGATGGAACCCGAGAGGGAGGAGCTCGGCAGAGACAGGGCAGTCACGTGAGAGGAGTTGTCGCACGTGACGCCATGCCAGGAGCACGGCGTGACGTCATCGTAGTTCCAGTTCCGTAAGACGGAGAGAGGGTCATCGACGACGGAGTACCGGAAAGATAGGAGGAGAACGCCGTCGGTGTTGAGGGCAAAAGAGGGAACACAGAGAAGGAAGGACAAAACGGTAAAAACGATGGGTAAAGATGAGCTTCCCGGCGAGAAATGGCGGCGGCAACCGGCGGTTTTCATGGTTCGTCCGGCTGAAGCATCGTCGTCTCTGTCAAACGGTCACTGAGAGAGAAGAGAGAAGGGAGAGAGATTTATGATCACAAAACAAAAAGGCATGTGAGCGAGGGGAGTAATTATGATTTTTTTTTTTCCTCAGGTATAAGTTAATTCTTGATTTGCAGACCAATATGCTTCGGCAGAGATACATATATGTAGATAAATACAGTGAAATGCACTAAATATTATAATAAAGTTCATTGTCCCACGTTATATTACTTGCGAAAATTAAATTATTAGCTTAAATTCATCGCATAGCGTTGCAAGATATTGCTCTTCATTTAGCGTATTTCTCAATATATTAGCAGATAAACTATGAGTAATCGTAATATATAAAAAAATTATAAATAATCTATACAATCAACATATTAATGATATTTCATTATGGAATAAAAGGGCTAGATCCATGTCTAGGCTGAGGATATACGTACATATACATATACAAATTTATTCAATAATATAATGATATAGGAAGAAACATGAACAGGTGGAGGAATCGTATCTTTGCTATAAGACATACACATGAAGTTCGAGTTTGCAATGACTTAGATTTTGACTTAGTTTTTTATTCTCACTTTCATGTTTTCCTTCTGTATTGTTAAAACACTTTGCATATCTTTTTTTTTTTTGTTAAAGATACTAGATTTTGGTCCTAGTTCTTTTTTTTTTCCAAATAAAAATGAAGGCGCGTATGATCATTGATTATTTGTATTTTTTTTTGGGCACCATTATATTTAATTTATTTACAAAAAAATTGTGATTCAAAATCAATACGGATAATAATCTAAAAGGTCGATATAGATGGATTTTGTTCTTTAATCAGAGATAGGGATTTGAACTTTGTTATGAAAATAGAACAATCATTTACATCAGTTTTTTAACCTTTTAGTAAGTTGATTTAGAGACGAACGATGATTAATATAAATATATAAGGATTAAAAGTGTCAACGTTATTAAAGATATCTCATGTAGGGATGCGTACGGGTCGGATACTCGGAAAAGTTGAGAGATTTGGATTTGGATCCAGGAGGCTCGTGTATTTAGCTATAAGATTTGTATCCGAGATTTGGTATTTACGAGTATCCGGGGTACGGGTATCCGGAATAATAGTCGGGTATTGCGGGTATCCGGATCCAGATTTATTTTAAAAAACAATAATATTTATATATAAAAGTTTTAAAAAATGAAGATATATTTATAAAACATATGAAATTATTTGAATTATGATAAAGTATATGAGATAAAGGAGATAAATAATAATAAATTTAATTTTTTGAATTAATATTAAAACATATGAAATTATTTAATCTAAAATAATTATATTTTATAAAAATATTATATAAATATAAGATATAATTATTTATAATCATAATTGCCGGTTACTCGCGGGTATCCGGTTCTAAAAATTCTATTATCCGGATTTGGATTCGGATTCATAGGTATTGAAAAATCGAGATTTGGATTTGGATTTAAAAATTACGAGTATCCTAAAATCGGGTATTTGTGAGACGAATATCCGTCGGATACCCGATTTCGGGTATTTGTGGCCAGCCCTTTTGTCATGTACTGTCTAAAAATGGAATAATTGCGGAGGTGGGCCTCGCCCATATATGATGTTTTTGTGTAATGTGAATCTGTAAGAGCATGGCCTCCTCATCGACATTATATAAGCTTCGACACCACAACAACATCCACATCGTCTTTGTTACGATCATTTATAACAAAAAATCTTTTATATTTGGTTAGAGACGAAAATGAATACGGCGATGTATTATTATGAAAAGCTATGGTTTTATGTGTATGTGGTAAACGTTCAATCAAATAATACGTTTTTGTATTGGACCGACGTATGTCACGTCGCACATAAATGCATGTAAAAAATAATGTGCAAAAAGTCAAAATCACTCGGTCCCCGTTAATTAAATACAAGGAACGTCAATGTGGTCCTACAATTATGTTGACGAAATTCCGGTATGCTTCAAAAAATTATAGTAATTTTACTGTCATCGGTTCACACTAATAAGGTATTAATTACATTCAATTTTAAACAAATAAAACTTGATTTGCACTCGCACATGCTAAATATTCGCAGCGAATGTACACACCTGTAATCACAAATCATATGTTTAAATTAAATATTTTTATTTTTTATTTATTTATGCGTGTGTGTTGTGTATATTTGTTATGTGTATGTTTCGAATTTATTTATATGTCTCCATGATATCACCTGCATTTACGGTATTAATTACATATATACATGGATAATAATATAATAATAACATTATTATTATTAATTTTTTCCGTGGAACATGTTTAAGTAGTTTTAGCAAAAAAAAAACATGTTTAAGTTTTTGAAAGTGCACAATTAAAACAAAAAAGAAATAAGCTAGGAGTTAGGTGACGTGGAACATCTCAGGTTGTTTGGCGGTGGACAAAGAACGGGAAGGGCATCACGACGTCGTTTTCTCCTTGGCCATTTCCAAAAATCCAAACACAGTCTCACAGACACGAAATTATTATTATCATATTATTATTATTATTCGGCTTTAACCAATAAACATGTCTCTTGATCGGTCGGTGTCTCCAATATTTCCCCCAACATAAAATAATGCTGGTTATTTAATTTAATAAAAACCTATTTAGCAACGTCTAGTCTGTCATGTGGTTTGTTTTATACAATACTTATATATATACACACACAGATAATTACTATAATTTGGGATATTTAACTAAATGTACAAACTATACATTGAATATTATGGTTAGGATGCACTTAAAAAGTTAATTATATTCTTATTTTAAAAAGTTTCATTATTACAACCATTGAGCTAAAAATAAGATTTTCATCATGACGATGAGGGTATTAATAATTTAATAACAAATATAAAAAAAAAGGTGAAAAGTTTAAGATGGATTTTGCTTCGGTGGATTCTTCCCTTTGCATCCCCTAGGGGTGGGCAAAAATACCCGGATTTCGAGTACCCGACCTGACCCGAGGGTCGGATACCCGAAAATTCGAGTATCCGAGGGAATGAGACATGAGATCGGGTATTGGTATTAGAATACCCAAATTTTCGGATTCGGATTCGGGTAATGGTTATTATTTCACGGGTATCCTCGGATACCCGGATAATAATAAAATATGTTTTAAAATTTAGATATTATTGGGATATATCTTTGATGTATTTTTTTAAATAAAATTATTTTAGATATAAATACAATTTAAATTTATTTTGAATGATTTTGTGTATGTATATATAAATATATTTAAAAATAATAATTGAAAAAATTACAAATATTCGGGTTCGGATACCCTCGAATACCCGAAAATTATCTCACGGGTTTTCAAATCCAGGTACTCGATTTTACGGATATAAGATCGGGTAATAAAACATATAACCCGAAATGTTCGGGTTCGGATACCCTCAAATTTCCGGGTACCCGACCCGTGCCCACCCCTAGCATCCCCCACTTTTTTTGAGGATATTAGAATATGTCCTGAGAATAAATGACATCGATTATTTACCCCAAAAAAAATTACAAAATACAAAAAAATAACATACATTTAATATTTAGTTTTCCAACGAAGAGTATAAATATTGGCAGAAGACAACATTATCGAGAAATGCATATGAATGTATAGAATAATATATTTAGTAATTATTTTAGTTGTGTTATATTGATTAAAGTAAGTATATATATATATATATATATATATATAATTTCTTATAAAATTAAATAACCATTACATTTAAAAGTTTCATCCTTTTTACAACCTTTTAGAAAGTTAAAAATACGCGAGGAATTGACATAAATAAAAGCTCTTAAAGCACAAAAGACGAAAAAGCTAAGGAATAATAATTAACGAGCCACATGATGATGGAGATCTAAATAGAATGTGTCATCATCAGGTATATTTATGTAACGAGCACAGAATATTTAATCGTTATAACTCAAACATTATGTAAGCCCAAAATATATATATTATTCTCTCTTTTTTATATAAAATTATAAATAGTGTAAAGGGAACTTGATTCTTCGCCTAAAGCAAGTGGATATGAAGCCCATAAAATAAAATCAGAAGCCCAAATCACTTGATCATGTTAAAGCCCAAAATATATACAAAATGAAAATGATTGGAATAATTTTGTGTATAATATATGGTGAGGACGACGACACCAGACCAGTCAATTCCACACCATTGAAGGTGACCTTTCACCTAACCTAACCACAGGCCTTAACACACCGTACATCTCTACATAAATACATACATACATACATACATATATAACACGTGCATGTGTAATACGCACACCATTATTATTTATTAGACATTGAACTTTTGACGAAACCAGGTATAGATCGGTCGAATACTCTCCGATAACATGGATTATTAATTACCATTCTTTTGTTTAATGCGATACTATATTAAGATTATTATCATTATAAAATGGGAAAAGGTTTCCTTAATTAGTGAAGGGTTTCACGGTTACACTTTTTGGAATTGCAGGGACATCCCAACATAAGATTTCTCCTTAAATTTACCAAAAAAAAAAAAAAGATTTCTCCTCAACACGGGCCCGACCAAACATAGCCTTGTAACAATTATTTTGTCGACGGGTTGGGTGTGAACGCATTCGTTTGTGGACGGAGAAAAGCAACTATAGTTATAGTTTTTTTTTTTTTGGGTAACCGGGTTTTCTGGACCGAGGTCCAGACTAATACCGGGGCCGGGAGCCAGCCATGTGATTTGAATTATGCGCCCCCTCTTCAACCTGGGGTTCGAACTCGGGGCGGGACAGACGCTTTGCGCACCCGTTTCACCGGTTGAACTACTCAGGTTCCGTTCACTGTATTGAACTACCCAGTTATAGTTATGCATCGCTCTGTAATAATGTTTGTCCCATTTTCTATATATATATATATATATTGCATATACACATGTTTTTTTTTTTGTTAAACATTGCATATACAGATGCTGACAAAGATATAGATTATAATCAGAGATTGACGTGTAAATTTGAAGTTGATTTTTTACAGATGTAATGGAATTGATAGATTTTGCCCAGAAATTGGTATTATGTTGGAAAAAGTATGAAATGATCTTGTTGAAATTTTCTTTTTTTGGATATTAAAATTGGATCCAAAATTGGATGATTCAACGGTTTTTTTTTATTTATTTCCGGTTTGAGTTTTTATTTAGAAAAAAATATTCATACTGACTTTTTGGTTCTTACGAATAAATGTAATTGGATCAAAATTGGGTATAATTCCGAATTATAAAAAACAAAAAAAGTTGGAAGCATGCGATTTATATCAACGCGTACACAATATGTGGTGAGAGAGAGGGTACATCGGTACGAAAATGTACATACGGCTTAAAGATATCGGGAACAGTGGGGCTTTATTTTATTCCACGGGCTCCTTTATAAGGGTATAATTGTAAATATACACTATCCTTCATATCCCACGATTCCCCTTCCTTTGTTTTTGTCCTTTTGCCTTCTCCATGCCCAAATTTAAAAAATGGTTATACATTGCCAGTCCACAATTTTTAATCAATTTTGTTGTTTTTTAAACGTTAATTTATAGGAATCATATTTAGTAATTACATCAATAATTAAGACAATACAGTGAACGGAACAGAGCACACGCACGTTGTATATAATACAAATACAGAGTTTTTTCAATCAAGGGTTTTCTTTGTTTAGTTAATCATTAGACCAATGTATGGTTCTAACCTATAAGAGAGAGACAAACTTATGAGGTGAAATATAATTATATAATACGAATAAAATAAATATTAAGAATGCATATGAATGGGAAAAGAGATTATATAATTAGTTAAGGGTGGGACCAAATATTGACATATTGGGAGTATATTATAAATTGTAAGAGAAGCTTCATTGGGAGGGAGGAAGGTCGTGGGAAGGTGCAAGGGCGTTGGGGCGCGTGCCTTTTATAGGCGTTGTGGTACAGTTATCGACCTACCGGTACCGTACAGATCTAGTCTATCGAGTAACCGGCTACATGACCGACACGTGGCCTCATTTGAGAGGCCGGCTGTTCGAGTTTTTTTTGGTTTCGAGATGAGATTTACAGGCTGGATTTTTTTTCCCTCCGTAACAGAGGCATGGAATAAAAAAAGGCAGTGATGATTTGGCGTTCCAAATCGGCAACCTGTCTTGTCGTTTTCCACATCACCTCCCCTACATAAACCAGACACACACACACGCGCATATATATATATATATATATATGCATAAGCATATATATACTTAATTATATTGATGATTAGCTGTGGAAAAAATAAACAAATGTTTGAGAAGGGATTTTTTTTAGGGAAGGTTATTGTTTTATCCCCTAACATTTATAATTTTATAGTTTTCCAAGGAAGCATAAAGTTGAAATTTAGTTATTTAGGAAAGCCGGGGGATATGGATTACAGGCTGGCATCACTAGTCCAAAGTCAGACCACATTTAAAAAAACAGAACTAACCGTTATCATCTTTATTTCAGATATTTATTTATAGATTTTCAAAATTAATTTTTTAAAAATTATTTTCACCTCGGATTTGTGCGAATATATCATGGCTTGGTTTCGTGATGGAACACGAGTTTGATAGAAAAGGACAAAAAAGACAGAGAGGGTGGGAGATGGTGACACGTGTCCCATTCACAGCTGTATCGCAAAACCGCTTGCGTGGAAGACTTCCCCACCGACCCCCTTCCTAACTTCCTCTCTCTCTATAAATTCGTATTTCCTCTCGTCCGTTTCCTTCTCCCTTTGCTCATCAGGGGTAGGTAGTTACCTCGATCGATCGAAGAAAGAGAAAATTTCGAAACTTTGAAGGAAATAATCGAATTCCATGGCGGATCGGATAAAGGGTCCGTGGAGTCCGGAGGAGGACGATCAGTTGCGGCGGCTGGTGGTTAAGTACGGTCCCAGGAACTGGTCGGCGATAAGCAAGTCGATCCCTGGTCGCTCGGGGAAATCTTGTCGGCTGCGGTGGTGCAACCAGCTGTCACCGCAGGTCGAGCACCGTCCCTTCACGCCGGAGGAGGACGACACCATCTTACGAGCGCACGCACAGTTCGGCAACAAATGGGCCACCATCGCTCGCCTCCTCAACGGCCGTACCGACAACGCGGTCAAGAACCACTGGAACTCCACGCTCAAGCGCAAATCCGGAGGAAGCGACGGTAGTTCCCCCGGCGGCGGAGGATACGAAGGTAGTTTCTCCGCCTCAGAGGAGCGGCCGCTGAAGAGATCTGCGAGCGCGGGCTCCGACGGTGCTGCGCCGGTGGCCACCGGTATGTACATGAGCCCGGGGAGCCCGACGGGATCTGACGTCAGCGACTCCAGCACTGTTCCTGTCTTGCCCTCGTTCCATTGCCACGTGTTCAAGCCGGTGGCGCGTCCTGGCGGCGTTGTCGTGCCGCCGGTGGAGACGTCGGCTTCGTCTGACGACCCACCGACGTCGCTGAGCCTGTCACTTCCCGGAGCAGATGTCAGCGAGGTGTCGACAAACACGGGTTCGAGTCACAATACGATGCCGTTTCTGTCATTGGCGAATCAAAACGCAGCTAAAGTCGATGGCAATGGAAAAGGATTCGGTGGGTCGAGAGCTGATTTCATGGCGGTAGTTCATGAAATGATAAAGGTGGAGGTGAGGAACTACATGGCGGAGATGCAGGGGAAGAACAGTTTAGGGTTCGTGGGATTGTACGATGGGGGAGCGGTCGGCTTCGTCTGACGACCCACCGACGTCGCTGAGCCTGTCACTTCCCGGAGCAGATGTCAGCGAGGTGTCGACAAACACGGGTTCGAGTCACAATACGATGCCGTTTCTGTCATTGGCGAATCAAAACGCAGCTAAAGTCGATGGCAATGGAAAAGGATTCGGTGGGTCGAGAGCTGATTTCATGGCGGTAGTTCATGAAATGATAAAGGTGGAGGTGAGGAACTACATGGCGGAGATGCAGGGGAAGAACAGTTTAGGGTTCGTGGGATTGTACGATTCCGGCAACGGTGGATTCAGGGATAGCGATAGAATCCCGAAGAATCAGATCGGAGTTGGGAGGGTCGAGTAGAATTTCAGATTAGGAAGTCGAGAGCTGATTTCATGGCGGTAGTTCATGAAATGATAAAGGTGGAGGTGAGGAACTACATGGCGGAGATGCAGGGGAAGAACAGTTTAGGGTTCGTGGGATTGTACGATTCCGGCAACGGTGGATTCAGGGATAGCGATAGAATCCCGAAGAATCAGATCGGAGTTGGGAGGGTCGAGTAGAATTTCAGATTAGGAAGCCACAGTGTTCGAACCGGAAATGTGAAATTGAGAGGACACGTGGGTGCTGTGTTTTATCATTGTGGGGCACTTTGGGAGAACAGAAATTAGGGCTTTTTTGGTTAAACGAACGAAACGAACAGAGAAATCTCGAGAGAGATGTCCGATGGACAATATAATTTCGTAACGGACGTCATTGGATGATTCTTTCTCCTCTTAAACGTATGTAACCATAATGATTGCCCCCACCTTAAAGTTTGATTTTTCTACAAAAGATCCATAACCGACGGGTACAGGATGTTAAGATTTTAATGTATAGATTTCTCGGACCAGACGGTTACAAAATCTTGAAAAGTTCCTCAGCCTATGAATCCATGTATTTGTGATATATACATGTACACATACACATATATATATATATATGTACTATGTTTTTTTTAAAAAAAATAACCAAGTGGTTTGGGCTGGACACCCTAAATCCTATGTGACAAAGGCGAGGTCTACGTTGGGCTTTGTAACATCTGATCAACTACCCCAAGGCTAAGCTCCCAGCCCATTGGGGCAAAATATTTAGCCCAAGCGTATGATTTTTTTAAAAACCATTTTTTTTTTATTTTTGGCATTAAACAAGAATTTGAAATATTAAATAGTGCTTCTGTGACAAAAAAAAAGAGAATGTCAAAGAGATTAAAAATAAGAAAAGGCGGCTGGAGTTTGGATTAGGACATGATCAAACCTACTCTTCCCGACATGTCGATAGCCACGTCATCAATTTCCTCCCATTTGAAGCACTGTATCAGCGAGCCATGGGCCAGGCTCAGTATCCATTGGGCCCTACAGCGCGGAACGTCGTTCTTACCAAGGTTGTATGTCTTTTTTCAACCTACTCAAATCCAAACCATTAGGACCTCTGATAAGTGAGATTTCGAGTAAGTCTTTACATAATCTTCTTCTGAGTAGCAAAAGCCATTGGAATTTTTATTTTAATTTATTAATATTGACAAATCCTCTGGCCCACCCCAGATGGCATAACCCAAGTAGTCTTCCGAATCCGTGTTTAGTTCAGCATCGGCCCTCTTTCAAAACTTCTGAACGATTTAGAAGGTTTGGCAATGCTGGTTCCGGCGAGCAAACCATCGCCACAAATTAGAAAATCATATCGATCCTTCCTAACGTTTACAAGATTTTGATTAGAGATATTCAAAGGGAACCCAACTCATCCCAATGCCACGTGGCATTAGACCTGAAGATTGTTGGTCCGGTGTTGTTAGGTACCTTGTTGTCCAAGGAAAATCCTAATTAATTGTCTACGTCATGCTTCTTCCACATTCGGAAGGTTACACGTCCAAAGCCCGTCAGTAAGACGACGTCGTTTTTACGTTTTATAAGCTTTGTTTCTTGGATTTGGTGCAAAGCAAAAGCATCTTTGTTTATTTGATCTGACGTTTCTCTCTCTCTCTCTCTCTCTCCCCCCTCGGCTTTCTTATTTTGCCCTCTGATTTCTTCGGCGACGGTGGTGATCCCATCGGAGGCTTAGCCGGAGCTTGAATGGCGCCGGCTTCGAACCGGTTGATTGCCGCGACGATCCTGTTCCTTCTCTCTTCGAATGCCGCCGTTGGAAACCTCCACCAATCTCCCGGCTTCGGAGCCCGACGCCCCATGTTGCTGCCGCTGTTTCTTTCTCCGATGAATTCTTCTTCTAGATCTGTGTCCGAATCCCGCCGAAGCCTCCAGAAATCAGATTCGGGTCACCTTCCTTACTCTCGCATGAGACTCTACGACGATCTTCTCCATAACGGGTAATATCGTCGTTCATGTTTATGAGTTCGGAATGGTTTAGTTAATCAATTTAGGGTTTTTTAGGAGATCAATCTCAGTTTTATGGATTTGTAGGTATTATACGACGCGGATTTGGATCGGGACACCGCCGCAGATGTTTGCGCTTATAGTGGATTCAGGAAGCACTGTTACGTATGTTCCTTGCTCCGACTGTGAACAATGTGGCACCCACCAGGTATTGTTCGAATTCCTTCGACTCTTCTTAGATTTTGTTTGTGTCAGTCTCAGAATGTGCCTAGCCTCGGAACAAATCCAGCATTTTCGGAGCCCAATCTCATTGTTCATAACCTTGAATTGGATGTAAAGGGAAGGGCTTGATCACGCGTATCGTGCTATGGAGTTAGCTGGAATTTAATTTGAAAATCTACTTTTTCTGTTATTTAATCATATGTGGGAAGAGTTGTATATTCTTTAGAACAACAAATGGAGTAAAGCTGGTCCCCTTGAAGTTGATGAGTTTAGAAAGAACATCCTGAAAAAGTTCTTTTTTTGTTAGTGAATAATTCATGACAAAGTCATCCTATTGGGGATTTCATGATCTTTCCTTTGTAAGCAAAAAGAACAATCCTGTTGAATGGTTTTTTCCTTTCACGTTGGGTGTTAAAAAGAATTTTGCTTCTGATTATTATTTCACCAGGACCCTAAATTCGAGCCGGAGTTATCGAGCACCTATCAACCTGTGAAATGTAACATGGATTGCAATTGTGACCATGATAGGGAAAAATGTGTTTACGAGAGAGAATACGCTGAACACAGCTCCAGCAAAGGTGTGCTCGGGGAAGATCTTATATCCTTTGGCAATGAAAGCCTTCTTCCTCCTCAGCGTTCTGTTTTTGGTTGTGAAACTGTTGAAACCGGTGATCTTTACAGTCAACGTGCTGATGGAATAATCGGTTTGGGCCAAGGGGACCTCAGTCTTGTGGACCAGTTGGTGGATAAAGGTGTGATAAGCGATTCTTTCTCTTTGTGTTTCGGAGGAATGGATATTGACGGAGGTGCAATGATTCTTGGTGGTTTTTCTTACCCATCTGATATGGTTTTCACCGAATCAGATCCTGATCGCAGGTATGTATTATGGACTCCTTTGTCAGATTGATGAATGGATCTTAAACTTCCCTAACAAATACGTTTGATACCTTTCACACATTTACTCTAGTTTCGGGATGGCAACAGTCCATATTACAATATAGATTTGATGGGGATACGTGTTGCGGGGAAGCAGTTGCCCTTAAACCCAAGTGTCTTTGATGGAGAATACGGCACTGTTTTAGACAGTGGTACCACTTATGCTTATCTTCCAAATGCCGCATTTTCAGCACTTAAAGAGGCTGTGAGTTCTTATTACTTTTGAACTTATTATCTCTTCCCAGAAATATTGATCACTCTACCATGTTTCTTCATGCTTTCCCTTGACACTGTATCTTGTCATGTTGTAGGTTATGAGAAAAGTTTCTGAACTGAAGCAGATTGATGGTCCTGATCCAAATTTTAAAGACATATGCTTCTCAATCGCTACAAGGTATCGTCTTTTGTGAACTTGTGATCCCTTTCAAACTCTTTGCACCAAGGAAGTAACCGAACGCTATGTTGGGTTTTGATTAAGAGATGCCCTTGAACTCTCAAAGACATTCCCAGCAGTTGAAATGGTATTTAAGAGTGGGCAAACATGGTTGCTTTCTCCTGAAAATTACCTGTTTCGAGTAAGTGATTCAAATCCCTCAAAATTTCTATCTCAGGGAATCTTTGCCTTCCATGAAATTTCGTTCCTATGCATTTGTATATACTGTAATTTGTTAGCCACAAACGTATCAACTGGTATAAGTTTACTTATACTGTAACTTTCTGTGTTCTAAAAAACTATTACAAAAGCATTCCAAGATGAAGGGGGCATACTGTCTAGGTGTTTTCCCAAATGGAAATGATCACACAACTCTTTTAGGAGGTAAGTCAGACATCACTTAGGTTTTTGTTTTTTGGGCATATCCTGAACCTGAAGTTGCATTTCTGGGATCCTTCTATTTTTTTCCAAAAAGATTATTTATTTGTAACAAATATGTTTGATAATAGGAATTGTTGTTCGCAACACACTTGTCGTGTATGACCGTGAGAATTCTAAGGTGGGATTCTGGAGGACCAATTGTTCCGAGTTATATGAAAGGCTTCATATGGATATTGCTCATCCGCCCGTCTCGTTGCCTTCAAATCACTCAACCTCTCCCGAGAATGAATCATCCCATAATTCAGGTGTTCTTCCAGGTAAGCCCACATCTCTAGGTTTTGGCCTTACCTCTTATTTCTCAAGGAACTAAATTGGAAAAGAGTGGTTATATCATGGTCCAATCAAATACTTTCTACAAATATGTTCATCCCCGTCTTTTCATTATCATAACCTGATGGAAAAATGCTGTTGTTGCCGGCTGGTGGTCAGTTTTGTATTGATTTGTTCTCTCTTCGATCTTTATCCTAGGGGAGATCAAGATCTGTAAAGTGAATGTCGATATACTACTAACAATTGATCCATCCAATCTGAAGCCTCATAGCGAAGAACTCTCAGAGTCTATTGCCAAGGGATTGGATCTCGAAGTTTCACAGGTTAGAGCAGATGACAAACACAACCTATGGCTGTTCATTGTGAAACACTTGGAAACCTGATGTTACTTGGATTTATATCATTAAAAGAAAAAAAAAACACTCCAATATATGTTGATGATGTCTCAGGTCCATTTATTGAATATCACTGCCAATGGAAACAACAACTCCTCCCTCGTAAGATTGGCCATTTCCTCTCCTGGACCTTCTAGTTGTTTTTCCAATGTCACTGCGACGGTATGGCCTCTCATCCATTTTCTTTTCTTCCTTTCCTTGACGAAATTGAACTGAACTTTTTGAGGTCAGTGTTGAATCGACTACTTCCATTCCCGGCCATTTCCTCAAACGTCGATCCTCAAATCTGTGAAACAGAGCATAATATCTCGGCTTGTCAACCATAAGGTCCAGCTTCCTGACACGTTTGGAAAATATGAGCTGCTTACATATGAATTCGAGCCTCAGGAAAAGGGGTATGTCCCATGCTTTCGTGCTAGTCCTAACGTCGCCTCAGACAGACAAATATGTAGAATCTGATTATTATTTTTTTAATTGCAAGAAAACTGATTCTTGGGGGGTGAACTGATCAATGCAGGGAAAGGATGAAGCAGAAGGAAGTGATGAGGGCAATGGGGATAGTGGTGATAGTGGGAGGATTGAGTGGGGGAGGATGGTGGATCATCATCACATGGAAGAAACGCAGACGATCACAGATTCCGTACAAACCGGTGGAAGCCGCCGAGCATGAACTCCAGCCCTTATAAGTCCGTTCCGTACGGTGCATGCATCCGTACGTTACGTACTTGTCCCGTCCTGTCCCCCCCCCCCCCTTTGTT